CCATTTAAGGATTAGTGAATATGATTGCCTCAATGAGCGGTAAGGATCTCCTTAAGGATTTTGTGCTTGATTGCCTCAATGGGCGAGAAGGATCCCGCTTAAGGATCCAACGATTGCAATTGCCTCAATGAGAGGCAAGGATCCAACTTAATGATCCATAGACACCTTAATGGGCGGTAAGGATCCCACTTAAGGACCCAACAATGGATCACCTCAATGGGTCACAAGGATCTCATCTAAGGGTCCAACGATTGATCTTCTTATTGAGCAACAAGGGTCCCACTTAAGGATCCAGTGATTACGACCGCCTCAATAGTCAACAAGGATCCCACTTAAGGGTGAAAAATTAATCGCCTCAATGGGCGGTAATGACCCCACTGTTGGATCACCTCAATGGACCGCAAGGATCCCATTTGAGGGTTTAGCGATTGACCGCCTCATTAGGCGGCTAAAATACCACTTAAGGATCTAATGATTAAGATTGCTTCAATGGGCAGAAAGGATACCACTTAAGGATCTAACTTTTAATCTCCTTGATAGGAAGAAAGGATCTCACTTAAGGATCCAGTGGCGAACTGCCCCAATGGACGACAAGGATCTCACTTGAGGGTCTAGTGATTGATCGCTTCATTGGGAGGAAAGGATCCTACTTAAGGATCTAGTAATTGTGACCGCCTCAATAGATAGCAAGGATCCCACTTAAGGATCTAATGATTGATTACCTTAATGGGCGAAAACAATCCCACTTTAAGATCCAGCGATGGATCGCCTCAATGGGCGGCAAGAATCCCACATGAGGGTTCGACAAATTCTGATCGCCTTTATGGGAAGAAAGGATCCCACTTAAGGATTCAACAATTTATTTCCTCAATTATAGACAAGGATTCCATTTAAGGATTCAATGATTGATCGCCTCAATGGACGAGAAGGATCTCACTTAAGGATCCAGCGAATTCTGATCCCTTATATGGGCGACAAGAATCCTACTTAAGGATCCAACGAATTTTGATCACCTTTATGGGTGATCTTCTCTTGAACTTTTAATTTTCCTGCAAAGAAATGGATAGTCAAGCATACCGACTTTAACATAATAAAAAGTGAGGCACCTCATTAAAAACTTCCGCCTCATGTAAAAATGCAAAGGGAAAATAGTGCATCCCATGAAGTAACTTGTTTTTTTTACAATCGGCAGGGATACCATACTCGCCTATAAAAATAAAATAATAAAACATTATTAAATAAAAATAAATGGTAGCCATACTAATATCTCCAAAGGGTATCTCTCATGGACCTTCAGTCTTCAGTCTTCTTAGAATTTGGATATGAGGTCTCCTCGCCTTTGTGGAATTCCTATGGTGGCTTTATTCTTTAACTTATCCTCCTGATTATCTCGCCTTGAGTGTTTATCGTCTTTAACCTTAGCCTTTCTGCATGACATTTCCTATGGATATATTGATCTACTTGGATGACCCCTACTCGCCCATTAAGGAGCAACTACTTCATGTATAAATACAAAGTAGATAAGGCGGTTCCCGGTCGATTAAAGTTTGGTCACCCTATAATAATATTATATGAATAGGGGGTATCAATAACCATATATGTAACATTTCTCTCTTTAGCTTGATCCTCTTCCCAAAGGTTATCCTCAATGTAGTATATCTCTATACTTGTACACGTTCTCTAGAGAATACAACCAACGATCCTCTTAAGATCTTTAGGTTTTCTAGGTCGAGGCGATTTCTTTCAAACACCTCCTAGTACAATATATCTGTAGAATTCCCTTGGTCAATGATAACTTTTTTAATCCCCCAGTCTTAGCATTTGATGGTAATGACCATGAGATCATCATTATGAGGGTGAATTCAACTACATTTTTCTCCGAGAAGGAGATCATGGCTTCCGGTTCTTGGCGCCCGTCTTAAATCTTGACCTCAAAGAGGTTTTCTACACTCAAGATCTAGCAAGCGTGCCTTTTTTTGGCGAAGCTAGTTTCCCTGCCTTTGTCGAACCCTCATACAATAGTGTTGAACGTGAGACACATAATTTGTTGTCCTCACCTTGAAACGCCTCCTTGGCTTTGTTGGGCCTGAGGCTCCCAGCCTTGTTTTACCCACACAAGCTAGATTTGTTTGATGAACAAGAGGAGTTGCCCTTCACATATTTTTTGACGTGTCTCTCTTGTATTAGCCTTTCGATTTCCCTTTTGACCTAGTTACAGTCCTCGGTGTGATGTCCCTTTACCATGTGGAACTTGCACCATCTTCTTGGTTCAGAACTCATCACCTCCGCCTTAGGAGCGAGTGACGTAGAGATTTTATGCAGGTGGAGTACCTCACACCAAATCTTCTCAGAGCGAGTGTTTAAAGGTGTAAAGTTCTTTGTCACCTTACCCACCCTTTTGAACCATACTTGCCCTTTATGGGTGAGGTATAACTGCTTTTCCTCTAGTGTTGTGAGCTATTGGCATTATAAACACACTATTGACATTGTGTGCCTACTTTTCAACATTTATTTGCCGTCCCATTTTTGCGGGCTTTTACGGGGATAGCCTAAATGGGTCGGACATGCCTGTTTGTTACTCTTAATTGTCTATTAATACTAATAAGACATTTCTTTGTTATGTTTTTTTTCTTCCTAAAATTATAAGGTCCATAGAATAGCTAGCCCGTTTAATGAAATATTAAGTGTGACTTAATAATGAGATCTCATTAAATGCAAAAACACTATTTTTTAAAGTATCCATAATTAAGCTTTATTGTGAAGTGGGATAACATTATAGCATTTAGACTATTATATGGATAGATCAATGATCACATCTCATGAATCATGGATAAAGATATTTTAAGTCTTCACATAGGTATGAATATTAGAAGTGATATTTATACTATATTAACTCGCCATAACAATACTACATAGAATGTTATGCGAGCGTCATAAGATATTCTCAAGATGATAAAAGTGTATACCACCCTTCAACCTGAAACCAATATGAACACTAGATGTGGAGTCAAATACTTTATTGTCAATCAAATGTTGTTCGTAATAAGATGAATATAAAGATGGTTGATGAGCATTCCATAAATCATGTCGAGGAACGTGAGTGAATTAGATGGAATTTTCTCATCACGCGTAATATGATATATGTCTAAGGGAGTAATATTGAACGGGACAAAGGTGACACGATTTATGCATTGTGTTCAATATAGACACAAGGGTGAAAGTGTAATTATACACATAAACATTATTAGGGAAAGATCTTGCCAAATCACAAGACATTTTAGCGACTTGGGTAACAATGATGTGTTACTAGATACTGCCTACTGTTTATTATATTAAATATGTGATTTTGTATAACTGTCAACATCATGAGAACCTACAAGGTCACACACATAAGAACATATCAATTAGAGATAAAATGAATAAGTGAAGCTTATTCGATTATGCAGTCTTATGAAACACTAACATTAATTAGAGAAATATGGTACATCGTAAGGTACGATGTACTTAAGTGAACTACATAACACCATAAGGTACAATGAGCTCAAGTAAATTATATAACACTTAAGGTATGACGAGCTTAAATAGAATACGAAGCATAGTAAAGTGCAATGGGCTTAAATGGAATACGAAACACCGTAAGGTATAATGTGCTAAAGTGGAATACAAAACACCACAAGGTATTATAAACTTAAGTAGAATACAGTACGTTGTAGAGTACAACGCACTTGGGTGAACTTGTTTAACTTGCAGCCCACACAACCAGTTATATAAATACAACATTTGTGTTGAAAATTTCCAACTTGATGAAATTCAGTTTGTGAAACCATATGTATAATTTCTTCCTTTCTCAGAAAGTCTTCATTCGTAGCAGCTTACACCAAGATTGAAAGCACTGCATTCGTGCACACTAAGTAGAGGCGTTGTTGTTCAATGCTCGTGATCGTTCTTTTGATTCTTCATCAACAGTTAATCACTACAAGAGATAACCAATCTATCAATGATCATGTCCATTCGTAAGGCTCAAGTTAGGAAATTTTTATTTTTCATTGCAATTTATAGCACAAATCCCCTTCAGGTTCATAAGTCGACTAAGGAATGACAAATCATGCGTTGGTGAGGTGAACTCACTGATATTGGGATCTAGAACTATGTATTGTTATGTGAGGATGAACTCAAAGTATTTAGGTCTATATGAGTCTACAACCCCAAACATGAAGTACAAAAGGTAATGAAATGCTTAAGAGTATTATTTCAATCTACTTGTCTCCCAATCACAAGGCTCAAGTTGGATGAAATACTTAAGAACATGATTTCGATTCAAAATCCAAAAATAGAAAGTAATAACATGGAAACTCTATAGAGAAATCTTCACCGTACATATTTTCTTAATCGACCAAGTGTATACTTAAAATATCTTTTGAAGCTTCATTCTCACATCCTCATGCACTTTCAACGTGAAAATTGTGAAAACGATTAACGATTTCAACATTGACGCACGTTAATAGACATTCTACCATACTTTCAAACACTACATTAATGCATGCTTGAATTTGCGTCAGATTTCTCGCATTCCAATGTACTCCGACTTTTGACGTAGTTGATTTTAAACACACTTTTAATAAATTACTAAAATATCCTCATACTTCCAAATTATAACAACTATACACAAAGATAAAAAGCATATTCTTACAAAATGTAAATGAAATCAAAGAAATCTGAGCCGTTAAACCCTAGTATATTTTGTGAAGAAGTCTTAGCCCTTTTCTTACATATATTTATTCATACACATTTACACTCTTTCTCTCTCTTTCTCTCTCACATCATATACAGCCACAACGCACGAAACCCTCTTCCTCTTTATTCTTCCCTTCTCTTTTCCATCCCCAATTCCTCAACTTCTCCTCTCTGCAAATATCATTCAAATCCCTATTCTTATACAGTTATATATTTTTATACTCGCAGAGAGTGAGAGAATAAAGGAGAGAGAAGAAAAATTAGGAATGGATTCGGATCAGGGAAAGCTTTTCATCGGTGGGATTTCATGGGATACTAATGAGGAGAAGCTGAAGGAGCATTTCGGCAATTATGGTGATGTTTTGAACACTTCAGTTATGAGAGAGAAGAACACTGGCAAACCTAGAGGTTTTGGTTTTGTAGTTTTCTCAGATCCTTCTGTTCTCGATAGGGTTCTTGAAGACAAGCATGTTATTGACGGCAGAACGGTTATGCCTCTTCCATTTTTGTTTTGTTTTTCTCATTTTCATTGAATGTTTTGCATACCCTTATTTACCAAAGTTAGGGTTTCTCTATGTGGGCGAGTGTGTTGTGTTAAAATTTTGGTCTTTCATGTTTTAGCTTGTTTATTGTCGTTGCTGCTTCTTAATTGCAGGTGGGTTTATGTTTTGTTCACTGATTAAGGCTTTAATCGATGTTCATCTATGGATTGTTTGTTTGTTTTAATTGGTATGCACCTATTTTTGGTTGTATATGTTTTGTAGCATTTTGTAGCACGGACCTAATTATTTTGTTAATGGTTTGATTTGATTGTTTTAACTGTGATAAGTTTGTGTAAAACACAGTCAGATGATGTATCTAATGTAAGTAAAGTATAATGTTTCATTTTGGGCAGTTAAGAGAATACATTGGAATATCATTGATGTTGTTTCAAAACAGTAATGTCTTGTATTCCTGAAATCCTCCTTACCGCATGTATAAAGCAGATAATATTAAATGACATAGCGAAAGCTTTTAATACATTGCTGTTTTGTCACTTATATTATGTTTACCTTCTACCTGTGCTGTCGCTTATAAGCTTTAAGCTTATATCTATTTAAAGTTTTCTGAAATCTTGGCAAGTATATTTATTTATGGTTATGACAGATGATACTGTGATAGTTGCCTCATTAGTGAAATCTTGTGAGCATGTGATCCATTTCCTTCAACAATATGCTTACGCGTTAGTGATAATTAGGAATCAGGATTACATTATTTGTATGTGGATTTGTGTAAATGTAGAATGCACAATGATTCTCTTGGGATTTATTGATAATTTTATCATGTTTTTGGATTTGCCCAAATATCTTGATGCTGCAGCCTAAAATATCAGTTTTTTGGTACTGCTAATAGTATGGAATATTGATGTTAACATGTGACCCAGATACTGTTTTTGCTTTACTTCCTACTATTGATTACAGGCCTAACTGAAACTTTGTAATTTTGTTATTCAGGTTGATGCCAAGAGGGCATTCTCAAGAGAGGACCAACCGATTTCTGTCACTTCAAGAACTGGAAACTCTAATTCTGGTTTGAGTTCAGGTAATGGTGGAAATATGAGGACCAAAAAGATATTTGTTGGAGGGTTACCCCCCACTCTGGCTGAAGAAAAATTTCGTCAGTACTTTGAGGCATATGGACATGTAACTGATGTTGTAGTCATGTATGATCAGAATACTGGACGACCAAGAGGATTTGGGTTTATTACATTTGATACTGAGGAAGCAGTTGATAGGGTTTTGCACAAGACATTTCATGATTTAAATGGTAAACAAGTAGAGGTAAAGCGTGCACTTCCAAAGGATGCCAATCCTGGTGCAAGTAGTCGAATGATGGGTGGTGCTGGAGGTGGTAGTGCCGGAATGGGTGGTTATCAAGGGTATGGGGCTTCTGGTGGCAACCAAAATGCATATGACGGTCGTTCGGATTCTGGTAGGTATATGCAGCCTCAAAGTGCTGCAGGTGGGTTCCCAACTTATGGCTCCTCTGCTTATAGTGCTGCTGGATATGGGTATGGTTCGGCTAGCAATGGCCTTGGTTATGGTGCAGCATATGGAGGTTATGGCGGTGCCACAGCTGGTTATGGCGGACCTGCCGCTGCAACGTATGGAAACCCAAATGTCCCTAATGCTGCTTATGCTGGTGGTGGCCCAAGGAGTTCATGGCCTGCTCAGGCTCCCTCTGGCTATGGCTCTATGGGTTATGGAAACACTGCTCCTTGGGGTGCTCCAAGTGGCGGTGCTGGATCTGGTTCAGCAACTGCAGGTCAATCCCCCAGTGGAGCTGCTGGATATGGGAATCAAGGTTATGGGTATGGTGGTTATGGCGGTGGATATGGTGGAAGTGATAGTTCTTATGGGAATCCAGGTGTATATGGTGCTGTTGGTGGGCGTACTGGGAGTGCTCCAAGTAGTAATGCTAGTGGTCAGAGTGGTAGTGAACTGCAAGGTAGTGGTGGAAGTGGAAACTATATGGGCAGCGGCTATGGAGATGCAAATGGGAATTCTGGTTATGGTAATGCAGCTTGGAGATCTGAACAGGCTCAAGCATCTGGTAATTATGGTACTCCTCAGGGAAATGGTGGGCAAGTTGGTTATGGTGGTGGCTATGGTGGTGCTCAAACTCGACAAGCCCAACAACAGTAATTTTGATAGTTATCTCTTGCTGGGTCTTGAACTTGACTTGAGGGTCTCTGCCTGTATTCTTAAAACATGAGCTTACAATGATTTCTTTCAGCAGCAAGGGAGTCGCTCACGTTCGACGTTCATTTACAATGGGACTGGTTGGGTTGCTTGAATCTCAGTAGTTTGCAGTATTTGCTTTCCTAGTTTATAATAAGTAGAATGCTTGAAGAGATACTAGATGATACTTTCTATTTTAGTATTTGTTTCTGGGTGTAGTTTTAAATTGCGTGTTTATTGTTTTAGTTGATATGGTATGGATTTGTCCGTTCTTGTAGCATTTGAGCTATAGTATTTATTATATTTCACCCTATATGATTGTTTGATGCAGCTTTTTGTTTTCTTATTTTGGTGATTTATTCTCTTTCCTCTGGTAGGAAATCTAATGGTGTAGGCACATGCATTAACTGTTAGTACATATAGAAATAAGCTGGTGTATAGCAGTGGACACTTGGGTCGATCACTTCGTAATGGGTAGTGATAATGGTAGTGATAGTAGAAACTTTGAAGATGGCATAATCATTTTCCCCCTGTATTTGCACTTGTGTTGTACAGGAGGAGAGGTGCACGAGTATTGAAGTGGAGCCAAGTGTGCACTTGTGTTGTGTATTTCTGGGCCAGTGCATCATCAAATCTGGAGGTTCCTGCCATCTCAAGTGATAAAATGTTGCAGCACAATGAATAACTCAGTTGGATATGACTTTAGAATAAGGAATTGTTACCTTAGATTTTGGCATATGTTACAATACAAGTTTTAGAGAATTGTCTAAAACAATTTTAATGTGATAGGAACACTTTTTATTAGTTTTGTTTACATCTTCATTTCTAGCACCTACCTGTCTTCTCAGTTGTGTTAAAAAGGTGTGAAATAGGAGTGAAATTGGTTTTGCCCAATATGGTAAGCGCCTTTGTGTCCACTGTTGTTGCAGTCATACATTGTGGAGATATTTTAAAAACTAACGTGAGAAATTGTTGATTGAGATGTATATCTGGTATATTGTGTTTTGATGCTCCATATCCTTTTTATTGTCTCTGTAATGTTGCCGTAGATGGAAAGATGAAACAGCCAAGGCTGATGGTGGAAGATAATATTTTTATCCTGGTTGAAAAGCTGAAACCACATGGATTCAGAAAGATAATAATTTAATCCTCTTATCTATCTGGTTTATTGAGTTTGCAGATGTAGTAGTGCCTATCTAGGCGCCCTTATGGATAATGGACAAGGGGTGATTGCAGTTCATTTCATTGATAGATAAATATATTAAGAGAGTGATTTAGGAGTACTCTTCCCTTTTCTATTGCAGCTGATAAAGTCTCCATTTTTTTAAAAATATTGCAGCTGATAAAGTCTCTCTTTTTTTTTAATCAGAAGATAATTCCTTCAAGCTCTTCACAAGAAAATTTCAATTTCGGATGAGTTATGATAAGTATTACATACAAAATTTATTACGTTTTAAAGAATATGAAAAGAAACCTCACAAATCTAACTGTTTGCCACTCCAAAGCAGCACAACTCAACTCCTCTACCTTAACAATGTTCAAGAAAACAACTATGGTATATTTATTTTGTTGATAATCACAACAAAGAAACTATGAGATTATCAATAAATGAGAAGAGATACAGCATCAAGTCAATGTATATTGCAGGAATGTGAGGTTTGTGCTCAAGGCCAGCCTCTATATGAATCACTGAATGCAGTAACGTTACCGGGCCGCGAGAAAACCACCTACATGGCAAATAAAACATATCATATCACTACTTGTTACAATTTGCAACTCAGATTACAATTTGTGACTCTAAGAATAATGTACCTGATAATTCCCAAGTGTGCGTGACTTAAAACCAGCACCACAGTAATCAAAATAGTATTCCCATGTTCTGATGAACTTCTCATTGAATCCAAGAGCCAAAATTTCACTGACAGCACAAAAATAAGTTTACAATAATTACTTGGTGTAAACATAAACAAGTACTATGTTTCAGTCAAATCAATAATATACCTCTGCCTTTCCAAGAAGTTTTTTCTCCACAGTCTTAGTGTCTGATAGTAATGAATTCCTAAGTTTTCAACGTGCTCCACGCTGCATTTACGTTCATTAATAGAATTCAACAGTTACTGTTAAGGTCTTGTCTTAGTGAATTTTCGAGATTCAACACACCTAAACTTTTATCAATCAACATGAAAAGAATTCAGAAGTTCCGTATGTAAAGATTGTACCATAGTCTGGATGTGGTTGCCATGGCTGATGTTATCCTACTGAGAGAAGGCAGACAACCTCCTGGAAAAATGTATTCCTTTATGAAATCAGAACTGCGTCGATACTCATCGTAACGTTCATCTGGGATTGATATGAACTATAGAACATAAACCAAACCATCTTCAATAGTTAGCACCGATTTAAATACCAGTAACAACGTATTTGTAGTGATTACTTCATTCACATATACTTATATAAGCAGTGCATGCCGTCTAAACAAATACCTGGAGAACAAGAAGTCCATCATCGGCCAATGCTGATTCACAACAACCAAAGAATTCTTCCATGTATTCATGTCCAACAGCTTCTATCATTTCACTGAAATATGTTTATAACCCAAGTTACGTACTATGCTGGAAATAAATGTAATGTGTACTTGAATCTGCAAAAATTAATTCATTACCAAGATATAATCCTATCATATTTATGCGTCTTTCGCAATTGGCGATAGTCACATAGAAGAAATTTGATATTGTCCTGAAGGCCAGCATCTTTAACTCTTTGTTCTGCAAGCTTGAGTTGCTCCTTTGACAAAGTGATACCAGTGTATTTGCAACCAGTTCTTTTAACAACTTCAATGGCTAAACTTCCCCATCCACATCCAATCTCAAGAATTTCATGTTTCTTCTCTATTCTAGCCTAGAGTTATTTCAGGAAAAATTAGATAATTTTGCAAAAATAGATTCTAAAATAGCAATAAACTAGTGACCAAAGGCACTTGCCTTTTCAATCAGAAGAGATATTTTTCTCATTTGTGCATCTTTCAAGTCTTCATCTTCGTTCTATAAGATAAATTAAAAAAATATAAAGGAAGAGATGTTAATCAGTTACTGCAGAAATTGAAGTAGGTATAGTCTTTACATGAAATTTAGACTCAGACATCAAAATTCTTGCCTTGAACACTGCAGATGAGTATGTCATAGTTTCATCCAAGAAAAGTGCAAAGAGTTCGTTACTCTACAAAAACAAAAGAAGAATATCTTGGTTGCAACTTGTTCATTGAAAGTAACTGAATCTAGGAAACTTTGTAGTTAATATGTAATCGTATTTATACCAGATCGTAATGTCTAGAAATGTTCCTTCTAGCCTGTGTGAGAGTATTTTTCCTTGAAACATGGTCCATGAAGAACTTTGCAGACGTCAAACCAGCCGTAAATAAAATCGGCGTCCACCAACCCCTAAAGACACTCGAGAAGAGTTTGAAATGAAAATCCAATTGAATATCTTAGTGTAGGCTTCAATTTAATAAACCAACTTACCTACTCTTCTTCAATTTTGAGTTGGATGCATTTAAATCTCTATTGGCTATAAGAACCTACATGAGAAATACCAAGGTAAATGGAAGTGAAAGTTAAAATTTTAAAGATACAACGGTGCATAAGATTTAGATGAGTATTGCTTACCAAGAAAAAGTTCAAGAGACCTTCGTCTTTATCGACAAATGAAAAGTCTCCATTGATGTATGCATCTGCTAGGCCTAAATCTGCCTGTGTCATGATCTGACAAACATGCAGAGATGATTAAGTTTTATATCATTGCCAACTACTATAAAACACTAACACAAGACACGACACTGATATGTAGACAAATCAACCCGTAGGTTTACATTCGTATATGAAACTTATAAGCACATACCTTCCAATAAAATTGGGGATTGTGAACTCTCAAAACAGTCTTTGGAGAACATTTTTTCCCAGTTCCCTCAAAGGTAAACATTGTTCCTCCTTCCTCCAACAAGCTATAACACCTCAAAGTAAATGAAAAATATGTTACAAGACATTTTTGTGTATGGAAAATTCATATAAAGAGTGTACATACTAGTAGAATTGAACTCACGTTAAAGAACCGGTAGTAATAAAGTAAGTAAGGAATCTAGTTACGAAGTGGCGTGCTCCGAGTTCCTTCCAAGAAGGTACCATGTGTTTTGGATTGGTCTTAAGAGTACAACATTTTCCAAGAACATCATGAGCAGCAACCATTCCAGCCTGCAAAGTTCAATCTCACGCTTCAGTTGTTTCAACAGGTTGGTGACATTTTGCAAGGGAACTCTTTTAAGAATATTGCTTAAAAATCACCTTAAGTCCATCTTCATGAAATCCATAACCTGAAAAGCACAAACATTTACTTAAATTATATAAAAAATCATAATATCTCTACTTGTTAAAAAAAAGACTTAAGAATCTTAATATTATGACTCTCATTACACTAAATTTATGTAAAGCAGAAAGAAAACATGAAATGTACCTTGGTATGCCCCAGAAAACCAGATTGTTCTTTTCCCTTGAATATGTTCTAGCTCTACAGAAGCTTTGTATGCCGCAACGGACGGTACCGGATGGCCAGTTGACCACTTAAGCAAGGTATTTTCTGGTACATGATCTGGATTCAGAGTAACTAAAAAGGGTTTACCTATTTCTTCAATATTCTGAAAATTAGTAATAATCACTTAGTTTATCCACATGAAATCACTCTGATGAATGCATTTTTAATTATGGCACTGTTACTAACCTGAAGAATATTTAGCCAATATGTCACACAGACTTTGTTGTTGTTACTTCCAAGAAAATTCCAAGCACTCCATGCTGTGGGATTTTGAGGCATAAAACTTTTATCGCGATGAAGATAAATATCACTGCCAATACAAATCAAACAATAATTATGCATTTGGAGTTCTACAACAAAAGACTTTCTTCATATTAATATTG